TACTTGTGTCATTCTCAAAACTTTTGACCACGACTGTACTATGGCAAAACCTGAAAATGGTTGTCTAGCAATGATCAACAGCCAATTTGACAGGGCTTGAAGAATTTTGAAAAGAATAATGGGCAAATATTGCACAATCCAGGTGTGGAAAGTTCTTAGAGACGTACCCAGAAAGACTCACAGATGTAATCGCTGCCAAAAGTGCTTCTACAAAGTATTGACTCAGAGGTGTGAATAATTATGTAAATGAGCTATTTCTGCATTTCATTTTCAATAAATTAGCAAAAATGTCTAAAAACATGTTTTCATTTTGTCATTATGGTGTGTAGATGGTTGAGAAAAAAATATATTTAATCCATTTTGAATTCAGGCTGTAACACAACAAAATGTGGAATAAGTCAAGGGGTAGGAATGCTTTCTGAAGGCACTGTATATTGTTTCCTCTCCTCAAATCTGGCTTGTTGGCTTGTTCCAACAAGTCTGTTGTGTGAACAGAGCTCACACAGCCTACAATACATCATGTTTGGTTTGATAGCATTTGTGACAGCTTCAGAGATATGTTTAAAGAGTTGAAATAACTATTTTAGAGGTGTCATAGATTTGACAAGTTAAACAAGAAAGTTATTTACTGAAGCTCTGAAAGGCTAGTCAGTGAAACAGTATTAGGCCTAAATGTAGGGTAGTTAAGTAAAAAGAATAAAACATATTATAATTGTGCCATCATTTATAGTTTGAAAGGAAGAAATGAATCATCTTTCTGTATTAAAGTTGTGGTTTGTAAGGCTGTGTTAGAGTTTGGAAAGCCTGTAATTCACCCCCTCACTAGCTCAAATGGTATGGCCTTCCTGGAGGGGGGTGGGGTGTCTGAGGTGGGACATTTGTTCAAGAGGAAACAGATGGTTTTCAACATGAATGGGGTCATGAAGGGCAGGTTCAGTTAGGCTGGTACAGTTGTTCGCAAATAGAAAAGTGGCCATTTCTTTGGAATCCCTGGCTTCTGTTCCCCTGCTTGGTTTCTTTTGCCTGCTTGAAACTTTTCTTCTTGGATTTGTGTAACTAACTCTCAATGACTTATGGAATCTGTAAAGTTTTGACCTCCACCACCAGGCTACTGTTGAGTGTTTTGGGCTTCAATGCCCTTTTTATTTGTTAATGAGTGGTCGAACTAAGTTTCAGCAACTGCTCGGAAAAAATGGTGAGTATGAGACTTATCCTTTCTGAAAAGATCATCTTATTTTTAGTTAGTTTATTTACATTAATTTACATCAGTATATTATGGAGACCCACTGAGAGAAAAAGAGAGGGACATTTTAGATAGACCATATGATTGATTTAATTCTTATTTTTAAAAGTTCTGAAAGATCTATTAAAATTCTACTGATTAAGAATTAAAAACATAGAATGAAAGGTATGTTTTAGAAAGCTTATGATGTGCTTTGAAAAACATCATGTTCTTTCTTCTGAAGAAGTTCTCTTTTTAGAGTCATTATTCAACTGTATCTACTTCTGAATACATTCTGATTATTTTTTACAGCCCATTGTAGTGAACAATTATACAGCTTTTTACCTTACGTAATTATATATTATAATGTTATATGCCTAACCATAATGTTAAAGCCATCCACAGTGTAGAGAGAATGAGACCTTTGAACTCCTGATGTCACCACACACGCTCAATCCTGATGGAATTTTAATAAAATGGAAATGTACAGTAAGACTTGTTGATCGTGTGGGCTTTGAACCCTTGGTGATCAATGGCTTACATTGTGGTAGCTTAGCCTTCCATTGCAAAGTTGGGTTTGAAACAATGGCAGCCTTACATCTCCTGCGAACAATACCAATTATTCAGTTTTGAAAGAGAAATGGGAATGCAGGGATTTGTGGTTACTGAGAGAATATCCCCTCTCTATCTTGGGACCACGGTGTTATTCTTGTGTTTATGGTAAAGCATTTATAATAACATTTGCATTAATTAAATTTTAAGGTATAAAATGGATAAAAACTATAAATGGTATGAAAAAAGGCACAAGCATAGAGATTTTTAGGTAATAAATTACATTGGAGAATGTGGAACTCGTACCACAGCAAGGCTTTTTAGGCCAATCACAATGTTGCCTATTTTATTTTCTGGTTTTAATGGTCCTCAGAAATGCCCTGAGAAGTACAGCAGTCAGAGAAGAACATGATCATTAGATAGCATGTAAACGATGGGTTATATAGTAATTGATGCCCTCAGCAGCACAGAGAACACACTCTATCATAAAATATGCAGAGCCCCTCAGGACACTGTGGTATAAACGTCTCCCTTTGTGTCAACACTCCCTCCTAGTGCTGGGGATTTCCTGTCGGCCATTAGCCTCCCATCCACCCTAACCCAGCCTGCCCCACCATGTCTCTCTCTCTTTCTCTGTGGTGTCAAACCATCTGCTCCTCAGATGAGGAGTTTAAACAGAAGCAACACCTCAACCACCAGCGAGACAGACACCTCTCCTGATCAGTGCTCTCTCCCCCAACCCAACCCAGGGATGGGTACCGACCGTTCTGCCCCTTTGCTCACCTCACACCCAGACAGGAAAACAGCAGCTCGCTCTGTGGTTAACCTTCACTTCACTCTAGAAAAAAAGGCAGCACTCTGCTCCCTCATAGAGAACCAGGTCTTCCCTGTCTAACCTTCCAGTTAACTTGACAGGCAGGCAGGTGAAAGATAGGCAGGCAGGCCTCCTGCTCACCTCTCACCACCAGAACAATAGTCATCCTTTCTGTTCACCCCCGACCCCTGAAGAGACAGCCACATTTACATTCAGACACAACAGTTATAAAATCTATAGAACGTGACTGGTCAAAACTCGCTATCTAATCAAACAACAAGTCTCATAAAAATGCGTTGCTTCACCTTCTGTCCAACTTTCAAAGTGCTGATGAATGAAAATACTGTCTTTGAAGTGTCTCAACTGTAGTATGATTTACACGAATGCAGAAAATCCCTTTCTTTTTTTTGTAAACATCTGCTGCCAATTTAATGAATTCAATCATCACTTGTAGAAATTCAGTATGGCATTCATATTATATACTTAATTATCTTACGGCTGTAAAGCTTGTTGATGGTGGCAGTGAAGTGCAGAAGTCAGAGGAGAACATGATCAGTGTTCCCTTGTAAGGAGCTCTGAATGACGACTTGTTAATACTCCCCAAGTCTCAGCTGTTCAGGTATCTGATGGTGTCAAGGTTCAGAGGGCGGCTTCAAGCCTCAGCATGAGGGAAAGACTCCAATTGGCAGGCGGCTCAAATGAACACCGTAGAGAAGGAAAACCAGATGGTAGCGCTGGTCAGGATGCTGCACTTGCCTCAAGGCAAATCTGTTTGAGGTTTCAACAGCCTCCCAGCTGCTTCTCTGACTAATTACAGGGAAGGGACAGTCGATCTTTAGAGATGAGAGGCAGGATATTTTTGCAGTGAAGGAGCTTTCCGACATACCAATGGGAGATTCCTCTAAACGTCAGTCGCTGTAGTAGTTTCTTGGTTTTTCTTCTTGGGTGTCTTAGGTTTTGACTTTCCTATTGGAATTTAATCATGTTGCTTACTGACCTCACAGCATAGAGGATTCCGCTAGTTTGGCTTAAATATGTGATAGAAACCCATGAACTAAGAGGGCATGAGGCTAACCAAGTCTCAATGGTGTATGTCATGTAGCTATTTTAGTTTCAGTGGGTGGCTTGTACTGGTTTAGTATGTATTCAATGAGTAATCCCAATGAGTCTGCATATAGGCTACAACAGGCCTTTTCCTGGAGCCAGTTTGCTGTAGGGCAGGGCAGTTAGGGAGGAGATATCTACATGGGAAGGAAGCATGGCTTCCCCGGGGACCCGCACAGCTCACAGGTCTTTTAGCTTGGAACTCATGAATTAATGAGAGGTTCCTTACAATTACACTCACCATCTCAATAATGATATAGGCCACACATATTTAGTTCATGTTCCTTTGATATCAATTGTGATTCTGAATAACTGAGTAGACTGGTAATTTGGCAGTTGTTCAGATACCGCTCTATCCCTTCTGAAAGTTGGTGTTGCGAAGACCTATTACACAAATGCTCTTTTACTGCTGGAGTTTCAGGCTTTCCCTGGTGGATAGCACAGTGAAACAGTAATGGTGCTTGGGAACACAGGCCTCAGTTATGATATCCAGTCGGAACTCGGGGAGTATGGGAGTTAAGGAATGTCGTAAGGAGGTGGAGTCTCCCGGAGAGGAAAAGAGAGGGACAATTTAGACGTGAGTCAAACATACAGTAGGCTATAGTACAGCAAACTGGTCTTTGTGTGAAAGGCTCACTGGTTACTGTATGTCCATTCATTACCTTTTAGAGAAACTATATTCATATGGAGAGAGGTCCTCACACACACAATCTATCAATTGTCTCTCCATTAAAAATCCAACGCTGTAGGCTACTTGTTTGTAAACCATTACAAATGAAATATTTACTAAGCAGGAAGATGAATGTACATTTTTGCGATCTTAACCATTTTCAGAACTTTCAAGGCATGGGTTGAATTTCATGATGGGCTTCATTTGTAACCTTCTGAGGATATGTTCTATTAACCACCTGGCAACATACGAGGTAATCTGAACCAACCATATTGCTAAAAGGCCACATTGACAATATGCCGGAGGCAGTAATGTCAGTGCGTCCACATATCCCACCCAGACGTGTTTAGTTTCTATGAATTAATTTTTGCCTTTGTCAGGCCAATGTCATGCACCAGTAGTGACAGTATTGTTAAACTGTGGAAAGTAGAAAGACAAAATAAAATGCTAAACCAACTTTATAGATAAGCCTCTGCTTTGCCTTTGTGCATTGGGGTCTTTCATTTGGCCGTCACCATTGCCTTCTATCAGGCTCTCCGAATCTGGTTGGAGAAATATGTAAAGTTAAACTATTGCGTAACTTCTGGCTTTATGTAACAAGTCAAGTCATAGCAACCACCTAACTTTTAATTTAGAAGATGTACTTAGGTTGAAACTGTAGTACAATACATGTGTCTGTGTATCTTTATGCATTTTCCTTTCTCCTTTTCAGAACTGGAGGCTAAAGAAGCTTGTAATTGGCTGCGGGCAGCTGGATTTCCGCAATATGCCCAGCTCTATGAAGGTAATCAATAGTTCTCCCTGTGGTTTATGGACTCTAGACTCTATTATGTTCAACCAAGTGAATATAACAACTATGGTCCAGAGAGACTTGTTGTATTTGGTTAGCTCCTACAGTACAAAGAAAGGTTTACATCCATTAACGTCTAGCTCATCAATGCATGCACAGTACTATAGTGATATGAAACAAACCACATTTGCCACTATTTACACAATGTAATCATCTCCCATCACCAATTACTGTACTGTGTTAGAGGGTGTTAGAGCTAAATTTGGGTAACAAAATATACCTGACGGTAGGCTTAGTCCCCTGTAGCTCAGTTGGTAGAGCATGGCGCTTGCAATGCCAGGGTTGTTGGTTCGTTTCCCACGGGGGGCCAGTATGAAAAATGTATGCACTCACTACTGTAAGTCGCTCTGGATAAGAGCGTCTGCTAAATGACTAAAATGTAAATGATGCAGAAGTTGTCAATGAGCGGTGTTATTTCCCTCCGCTCAGCAGGCTTCTTATCAAGCTATCCCCATGGTTGAAAGCTAATTGAATTGCAATATCTGATTATTCTTGACTGAATCGCTTTCTTTCAATTTGCTGGTTGTTGCTATGCATATTCTATGGAGAATGAACTCGACAGGTAAATCATAGATCAAAGTCTGGCAAATTGGAAAAGTCTCAAAGTTCAATGTTAGTGATAATTCACATTAATTAGAAATGTAGGAAATGCACCACTGCCAGTCAATAGAAGCTATAGTGAAAGAAAAGAGTGAAGGCATTCTGACTAAACGTTGTTTATGTTTGCAGTTGGTTGGTGGTACTGTATGTGTTAACAAATCATCTCCTTTTGGTACTACATTTTATTCTCAGCCTATCTTAATTGTTTATCAACTTTGTTCTACATGCCAGGAGGTAGTACTCATCAGATGTAAGGAAAGCACCCTCTCCTAACAGTGTAGCCTCTGCAAAAGGGAAGTAGAGAGAAACAAAAGCTGGAAATGAGAAGCCTCTGGAATGTTGTGTGATGAACAGTTTTCTTTCTCTAATATCCCTATGCACACAAAATAGCCCCTCGTAGAGCCACATAGAATTTGTAACCACTTTTTACAGTTTTAATCAAACTGTTGTAAAAAATTAATGAGATTTGGAGTCCATAGCATCCAGCCATTGATCAGTAATGTGAAGGCTTGTCAAACAATATACTTTTGCTGATTTAGTCGCAACTACATAATACTGTATAAAATACATGCATTGCCAAGGACTGCAGGCAGCATGTCTCAAAATGAATGTCTGCACATGCCCGGTTGGCATGAATGTAGTCCTCTGTAGCTCAGCTGGTAGAGCATGGCGCTTGTAACGCCAAGGTAGTGGGTTCGATCCCCGGGACCACCCGTACACAAAAATGTATGCACGCATGACTGTAAGTCGCTTTGGATAAAGGCGTCTGCTAAATGGCATATTATATTATTATTATAATAATTTTATATCATAGACATTTACATTTTTGTCATTTAGCAGACACTCTTATCCAGAGCGACTTACAGTAGTGAGTGCATACATTTTCATATATTTTTTTGTGCTGGTTCCCCATGGAAATCGAACCCACAACCCTGGCGTTTAAAATATATAAATATTTATGACCTCAGAGGTTGGTCGTGTTTTCCTAGAACCTGATCAAATCACCCAACAGTATAACTTACCCGCAAAACATATATTCATCAACTTTGACATGGCCATATGCTGTTATTCTGGTGTCTTTGGTGCAGAGAGAGTAAAGTTCCCATAAAACAAATGTCAAAACACATCTATTAACATATCCACCTCTCTTGATCTGCAGCGGGACTGCTTCCGTTAGACATCTCCTCTGTGAAAAAAGACCATGAGTTTCTGGACCAGGATTCACTGAAGTCACTATGCAGGTAAGACATTCACATTTCCATTACCTTTCATATGTCTGCATCCAAGTCTCATACTATAAGGTATGCTATGCATTGTTGGTAATGGTTTTGCAATTTTTTAAATTAAGTTGAATAAAAAATATTTGTATTTGTTTTCTGGGAGGTATAGGAATCCCACTATAATGATGTGGATTGTTATTGTTGCTATTATAAATACAATCATTTGTTTAAAACTTTTTGTCAAGAATAATTACAATAATTATTCATACCCATATCCATCTTTTGAGGTGTGATAAAGAGGGTTTTCACTGCTGGTCATTAACTCGAACATCAGTTGCACAAATCTATGAATATATTAACTCTGTTGAACAGCGTTCTGGTGGATAGCAAACTATAACTTGAGTTGATAGACTTTCTGTGTGTGTGTGTGTGTGTGTGTGTGTGTAAGAGCAGTAGAGACACGGTGACTGAATTGCCAATCAAATCCCAATAAATCACCTGAGCTCCCAGTGTCACTTCATGCTGTCAGGTTGTCCTCAGAGGAGTAGCTATGAATCTATGCTCTCAGAATACAAATATACGATATGATACGATACGATATGATATGATACGATACAATACGATATGATACGATACGATACGATACAAAATGATACGATATGATACGATACGATATGATACGATACGATACAATAATGCAAAAAAATATATGATAAAGACAAACTTTTTTTATGTCTTCAAGTTCCAACTATGGAAACTTTGAGCTGTAAGAGAAAAGTTGAACTGCTGTCTGTCTTCAGAAAAAAGACATGAATCAAGCATAAAATGAAATGTGTTAAAGTTCACTGTAGACTTCCTGACTCTTGAAATTTACGACATATCTATTGACAATTGTTTTCCAAAATAAACCGGTTAGTGAAATGCCTCACACACAGACTCATTTCAATCTGTGGTGCAGCAACTGACATGGTGTGAAATTCAGTCTGGGGTGGCGTGATGTAAAAATAAAACAGCCTGGCTCAAGGCCTGCATGTCTGCATACTCTTGCTCTGAAAAAGTCATGCATTTTGTTTTATTTTTACATCACGCCACCCCAGACTGAATTTCACACCATGTTGGGGGGGGGGGGGGGGGGGGGTTGGCAGAGGTGGAACACAATTACAAAGGGGAGCCATGGGAGTAGTCCTTCAAAAACATTCAAAATATTACACATTGACATGAAAAACTGAATTGTTTACATCCCTGTTAGTGAGCATGTCCGGAAAAAAAGTATTTAGTCAGCCACCAATTGTGCAAGTTCTCCCACTTAAAAAGATGAGAGAGGCCTGTAATTTTCATCATAGGTTCACGTCAACTATGACAGACAAAATGAGAAAAAAAAATCCAGAAAATCACATTGTAGGATTTTTAATGAATTTATTTGCAAATTATGGTGGAAAATAAGTATTTGGTCAATAACAAAAGTTTCTCAATACTTTGTTATATACCCTTTGTTGGCAATGACACAGGTCAAACGTTTTCTGTAAGTCTTCACAAGGTTTTCACACACTGTTGCTGGTATTTTGGCCCATTCCTCCATGCAGATCTCCTCTAGAGCAGTGATGTTTTGGGGCTGTCGCTGGGCAACACGGACTTTCAACTCCCTCCAAAGATTTTCTATGGGGTTGAGATCTGGAGACTGGCTAGGCCACTCCAGGACCTTGAAATGCTTCTTACGAAGCCACTCCTTCGTTGCCCGGGCGGTGTGTTTGGGATCATTGTCATGCTGAAAGACCCAGCCATGTTTCATCTTCAATGCCCTTGCTGATGGAAGGATGTTTTCACTCAAAATCTCACGATACATGGCCCCATTCATTCTTTCCTTTACACGGATCAGTCGTCCTGGTCCCTTTGCAGAAAAACAGCCCCAAAGCATGATGTTTCCACCCCCATGCTTCACAGTAGGTATGGTGTTCGTTGGATGCAACTCAGCATTCTTTGTCCTCCAAACATGACGAGTTGAGTTTTTACCAAAAAGTTATATTTTGGTTTCATCTGACCATATGACATTCTCCCAATCCTCTTCTGGATCATCCAAATGCACTCTAGCAAACTTCAGACGGGCCTGGACATGTACTGGCTTAAGCAGGGGGACACGTCTGGCACTGCAGGGTTTGAGTCCCTGGCGGCGTAGTGTGTTACTGATGGTAGGCTTTGTTACTTTGGTCCCAGCTCTCTGCAGGTCATTCACTAGGTCCCCTCGTGTGGTTCTGGGAATTTTGCTCACCGTTCTTGTGATTTTTTTACCCCATGGGGTGAGATCTTGCGTGGAGCCCCAGATCGGGGGAGATTATCAGTAGTCTTGTATGTCTTCCATTTCCTAATAATTGCTCCCACAGTTGATTTCTTCAAACCAAGCTGCTTACCTATTGCATATTCAGTCTTCCCAGCTTGGTGCAGGTCTACAATTTTGTTTCTAGTGTCCTTTGACAGCTCTTTGGTCTTGGCCATAGTGGAGTTTGGAGTGTGACTGTTTGAGGTTGTGGACAGGTGTCTTTTATACTGATAACAAGTTCAAACAGGTGCCATTAATACAGGTAACGAGTGGAGGACAGAGGAGCCTCTTAAAGAAGAAGTTACAGGTCTGTGAGAGCCAGAAATCTTGCTTGTTTGTAGGTGACCAAATACTTATTTTCCACCAAAATTTGCCAATAAATTCATAAAAAATCCTACAATGTGAATTTCTGGATTTTTTTTTCTCAATTTGTCTGTCATAGTTGACGTGTACCAATGATGAAAATTACAGGCCTCTCTCATCTTTTTAAGTGGGAGAACTTGCACAATTGGTGGCTGACTAAATACTTTTTTCCCCACTGTACATGACAGGTGTGGCATATCAAGAAGCTGATTAAACAGCATGATCAATAAAAGGCCACTCTAAAATGTGAAGTTTTGTCACACAACACAATGCCACAGATGTCTCAAGTTTTGAAGGAGCATGCAATTGGCATGCTGATTGCAGGAATGTCCACCAAAGCTGTTGCCAGAGAATTGAATGTTAATTTCAAATCAAATCAAATCAAATTTTATTGGTCACATGCGCCGAATACAACAGGTGCAGACATTACAGTGAAATGCTTACTTACAGCCCTTAACCAACAGTGCATTTATTTTTAACAAAAAAAGTAAAAATAAAACAACAACAAAAAAAGTGTTGAGAAAAAAAGAGCAGAAGTAAAATAAAATAACAGTAGGGAGGCTATATATACAGGGGGGTACCGGTGCAGAGTCAATGTGCGGGGGTACCGGCTAGTTGAGATAGTTGAAGTAATATGTACATGTGGGTAGAGTTTTAGAAGTTCTAGAATTTCTTTACCATAAGCCGCCTCGAACGCCATTTTAGAGAATTTGGCAGTACGTCCAACCGGCCTCACAACCGCAGACCACTTGTAACTACGCCAGACCAGGACCTCCACATCCAGCTTCTTCACCTGCGGGATCGTCTGAGACCAGCCACCCGGACAGCTGATGAAACTGTGGGTTTGCACAACCGAAGAATTTCCTGCAAAAAACTGTCAGAAACCATCTCGGGGAAGCGCAACTGCGTGCTTGTCATCCTCACCAGGGTCTTGACCTGACTGGAGTTCGGCGTCGTAACCGACTTCAGTGGGCAAATGATCATCTTCGATGGCCACTGGCACGAGGGAGAAGTGTGCTCTTCACAGATGAATCCCGGTTTCAACTGTACCGGGCAGATGACAGATTGCATGTATGGTGTTGTTTGGGCGAGCGATTTGTTGATGTCAACGTTGTGAACAGAGTGCCCCATGGTGGCGGTGGGGTTATGGTATGGGCAGGCATAAGCTATGGACAACGAACACATTTTATCGATGGCAATTTGAATGCACAGAGATACTGTGCCGAGATCCTGAGGCCGACTGTCGTGCCATTTATCTGCGGCCATCATCTCATGTTTCAGCATTATAATGCACGGCCCCATGTCGCAAGGATCTATACACAATTCCTGGAAGCAATTCCCAGTTCTTCCATTTCCATGGCCTGCATACTCACCAGACATGTCACCCATTGAGCATGTTTGGGATTCTCTGGATTGACGTGTACGACAGCGTGTTCCAGTTCCCTCCAATATCCAGCAACTTCGCACAGCCATTGAAGAGGAGTGGGACAACATTCCACAGGTCACAATCAACAGCCTGATCAACTCTATGCGAAGGAGATGTGTCGCGCTGCATGAGGCAAATGGTGGTCACAGACTGCTTTTCTGATCCACACCCCTACATTTTTTAAAAAGGTATCTGTGACCAACAGATGCATATCTGTATTCCCAGTCGTGAAATCCATAGATTAGGGCCTAATTGTTTTATTTCAATTGACTGATTTCCTTATATGAACTGTAACTCAGTCAAATCTTTGAAATTGTTGCACATTGCGTTTATATTTTTGTTCAGTGTAATTTGGATTGGCACTGCACTTGTAAACAAACCAAATACTTGGATATTTCCTATGTTTATTCATTTGATCTCTTTCATTTCCATGTAGGAGGCTGTCAACCTTGAACAAGTGTGCCTCCATGAGACTGGAGGTCCATTTTCAGTGCAAACAGGTGAGTAGACCAGCCACTAGATCCACTGCTATAGCTTGTTACATGTCTGAGTTTGCTTGACGGCCTTGTATATTACAATTGTTTTATAGTCCATTGTACATGCACAAATAAGTCTATATTTGCTTTGCACTTAGACATAGCCCTTGTCAATGTAAATAATCCTTCCATAACCATGTTATAAAAGGGTCTCTCATTTGTCTCTCATCTGATGCAGAGTGAAGACTCCGAGGAGGATGACCTATGTGCCATCAGTGACCGCTGGGCATTCCAGCGAGAGAGTAAAACATGGTCCCGACTGCGTAACTTCTCCCAACACATCTCCCCCAGCGTGGAGGTCCTTTCCTCCACCACCCTGCGCCCCTTGAGGGCCTCGGCCAGTAGTGAGAGCATCCTGAGTGACTTCAGCAACCTGGAGGTCACCTCCACCCACAGCAGCAGCAGCCTGAGTGTGGAGAGTGCCAGAGGTACCACGTCCAGCACCCCCTCCAGTCAGGTCACCAGCATGGCAGAGCCCTACATCCTTACCTCCCACCATGACTCCCATGATTCCCACTCTCCCAATGGATCCGCCTGTGAGGGCCAGCCTGTGTCTCCCAAAAACCTGGTTACTGTTCCTGTCAGCAGAGAGAAGACCAAGAGGTGTTCCAATACCTTCCTGAAGAGAATGGAGTCGATCAAGAGAAAGGATAAAGAGAGGGAAGTGACAGATGGCCAAGTTGTGACCTCTCCGCTGCAGTTCCCTCTAACCCCTGGCAGTTTGCATTGCACTTCCAATGAAAGTCTACCTGGTTTAAAAAATAACACTACAGAAAAGAGCAGTGTAAATTACAGCAGAAAGGCCCATACTATCTGTCGTACAGGCCATAGGTCCCCAGTAGTGGACAGAGCTAATGCGAAGAACAGTTGGCTCTATCTAGAGGACTATGACATGGTAGGGTGGAAGGGGGCTAAACAGGTTAGTCAGAAGAGTGGCTATAAAAATGGACTAGATTGTCTGGTTCATCTGCCAGTGGACCACAAGCCAGGCACGTTCCCCAAGTCCCTATCCATCGAGAGCCTGTGCACTACTTCCACTTCTCACGAGCTGCGTGAATGGCAGATGGAGGACGTCAACCTCTCCCTGGGCAGCAGTCATGAGTCCCAGGAATTCAACATGTTTCCTAGAAGAAGAAACTCGTGTTCCTCAGTGGGGAGCATCTATGACAATGTGCATGAGGCTAGTGGCAGTTCAGATGAGTTGAGAGAAAAGGTCTTTGAGCACCTGGATGATATCCTTCAACATGTCCATGGCCTTCAGCAGAATATAGACCAGTGGTCCAAGAAGGTGTGCCAGGAGCTCAGTGACAAGCATGAGGAGGAGGAGGAGGACACTGACGAGACCAGAGAAACAACATTCTCCTCCAGCCTCCATTTTGAGGAGCAGTCTATGTCAGATGTAGGCACGATGGCCAGTGACTACGACAGCACAGGAAACTCTTTGAATGAGGTGGAAGATGTTGAGACAAGAGAACGAAGGGACTCAGGAGTGGGTGCTTCCTTAACCAGGCCAAGCAGGTAAACATACATTGTTATACATAAAGATGATAACACGTTCAGGTTTATCAGTATTTCACCAAATGTCAAATAGCTCTTGACATTTAGATAGTATAATAGTAAAGACCCATAAATTAATTGATTTAATCGCCTCTAAGATATACCACAAATGGACACTCATAGCATCGCTATAGATCAAAACATTGACCTTTATTCCCATTACATTTCCCCTCTCTCTAGGAAGCTACGGTGGCATAGTTTCCAGAACTCCCACAGGCCGAGCCTGACTTCAGCCTCCCAGGAAATTAACCGTCAGTCAGCCGCTCAGCTTAACCTGCTGCAAAAGTTCTCTCTGCTCCGGCTCACTGCTATAATGGAGAAGTACTGCGAACCCAACAAACATGGCTGGAGCTGGTGAGTGGAGGGCCCTTGGGGACTGGAGATTTAAATATAGATAAAAGGCAGTTACGTAAAGAAGTGCACTCTATTATACTGTCCTTTTGATATGCATTTAATCAGGGCAGCGAGTATTTTTTTGTGGTAAGGAAATTGCTTTTTAAAATGCATTGTATTCATCATTCCAAATGGCAAGGCCTTTGATCTACATTTATGCAGCCAATGTATAGTAGTTTAAAAGGAAAACCTGCTTTCCATAAAGAAAGCTGTTAAAAAGTTTGGATTTGTACAATTTCGCAACCTTCTCTCATTCAGGCTCTTATTTCTCATGCGGAGGACTCTTGCTTCTCAAGAATCAATCACATTTTCCTACACAAAGAATCCATTATCTATAATTGCAGTGTCACGATCGTTGAGAGACGGGTCAGACCAAGGCGCAGCATGGTATGCGTACATATTTATTAATGACGATAAACACTTGACAAAACAACAAAAGCAACGTAATGTGAAGCTCCAACAATGGCTACACACTAACAAGCCAAACACCAGTCAAGATCCCACAACTAAGGTAGGCAACATGGCTACCTAAGTATGATCCTCAATCAGAGACAACGAGTGACAGCTGCCTCTGATTGGGAATCACACCCGGCCAAACATAGAAATACACATTCTAGATCCTAAACATAGAATCTAATAACACAGATCTCAACCTGAACTCACACCCTGACCCAACCAACCAGAGTTCTCTAGGTCAGAGCGTGACAGTACCCCCCCCCCCCCCCCCCCAAAGGTGCGTACTCCAGCCGCACCAACCTGATTCATTAGGGGAGGGTCCGGGTGGGCATATCAGCCTCGGAGGCGGCCTCTCCCTCTCTGCCCTCCCCGTTGCGCCCCTGGTCTGGTCTGGACCTCGGCGCGATGCTTCCCCTCTCCTTCCTCCCACGATGCACCAAGCCCTGTCTGGACCCTGGTGTGGGAGGCCCCGACCCTGGAGAGGGGCTGACTTCTGGGTCTGGAGTGGAGCCGCTGACCGGAGCTGGATTGGGCACCGGTGGAGCGGACTGCTCTGGCTCTGGAGTGGATCCGCTGACCGGAGCTGGACTCGGCACCGGTGGAGTGGACTACTCTGGCTCCGGAGTGGATCCGCTGACCGGAGCTGGACTGGGCACCGGTGGAGCGGACTGCTCTGGCTCCGGAGTGGAACCGCTGACCAGAGCTGGACTAGGCACCGGTGGAGCGGACAGCTCTGGCTCCGGAGTGGAACATGCGTTTTTCTGGATTTTGTTGTTGTTATTCTGTTTCTCACTGTTCAAATAAACCTACCATTAAAATTATAGACTGATCATTTCTTTGTCAGTAGGCAAACTTACAAAATCAGCAGGGGATCAAATACTTTTTTCCCTCACTGTATCTCCGCATACCTAGGTTTCTCAATGAACACACGCTCCTTTTGTTGCCTGACCAGCTCCTCTCTCCGTGCCTCCACTATTTCCTTCTCCCTACGGGCCTCCTGCAGCTCCTCCTCTTTAAGGGAGCTCTCCTGCTCTGTTCTTCCTATCAGCCCCCCGTAATGTGGTGGCCTCCTCTCTTAAACAGTCGATCCGCAGGTCTTGGAGGACCTCTAAAATAGCGGCCTCCTCCTCTATAGTCAGCCCTTTCACGGCCTCCTGCTGCCTCGTCGTCCACCCCGTGTGCCCCCCCAATTTTTTTTCTTGGGGCTGCTTCTCTGGCTTTCTTCGTGACCGAGTCCTTTTGAGTCGCCGTTTCTCCTCTCCTGCCTGGGCTTCCTCCTTCGCCCAGGGTCCTCTACCAGCCAATATCTCCTTCCAAGTCATTTTGCTCCTGGGCACGCTGCTTGGTCCTTGTTTGGTGGGATCTTCTGTCACGATCGTTGAGAGACGGGTCAGACCAAGGCGCAGTGTGGTATGCGTACATATTTATTAATGACGATAAACACTTGACAAAACAACAAAAGCAACGTAACGTGAAGCTCCAACAATGGCTACACACTAACAAGCCAAACACCAGTCAAGATCCCACAACTAAGGTAGGCAACATGGCTACCTAAGTATGATCCCCAATCAGAGACAACGAGCGACAGCTGCCTCTGATTGGGAATCACACCCGGCCAAACATAGAAATACACATTCTAGATCATAAACATAGAATCTAATAACATAGATCTCAACCTGAACTCACACCCTGACCCAACCAACCAGAGTTCTCTAGGTCAGGGCGTGACATGCAGTGGACATTTTAGCGCACGCTCAGTTGTCAGCAGTAAATTAGCAGGTTTTATCATCCTAAAAGGTTAAAACTTAAATTTCTCTTGCATCATCTGCCATGTGCTGTCACCCAATTAGGCTTCATCCCTTAGTTGAAAAAGCATTATGTGAATATGCATCAGACAAAATGGAAACTGTTTTGTTCCGAAATAGACTGATTAGGATTTGGCGATAGACCAAACAGTTTTCATCCAAAAAAGACATCAATGTCCAAGGAAAATATCTAATGTTAACTGTGGTGCTGTTTGCGTAGTTTTAGCCTTTTCCCCACTTTAAACTACCAATTTAGACTATCGTTTAGACACATCCAATTTGACAAGATTACATGTACAGTGAGGGGTAAAAACTATTTGATCCCCTGCTGATTTTGTACGTTTGCCCACTGACAAAAAAATTATCAATCTATAATTTTAATGGTAGGTTTATTTGAACAGTGAGAGACAGAATAACAACAAAAAAATCCAGAAAAACGCATGTCAAAAATGTTATAAATTGATTTGCATTTTAATGAGGGAAATAAGTATTTGACCCCCTCTCAATCAGAAAGATTTCTGGCTCCCAGGTGTCTTTTATACAGGTAACGAGCTGAGATTAGGGGCACACTCTTAAAGGGGGTGCTCCTAATCTCAGTTTGTTACCTGTATAAAAGACACCTGTCCACAGAAGCAATCAATCAATCATATGGCCAAGACCAAAGAGCTCTCCAAGGATGTCAGGGACAAGATTGTAGACCAAAGCAAGGCTGGAATGGGCTACAAGACCATCGCCAAGCAGCTTGGTGAGAAGGTGACAACAGTTAGTGCGATTATTCGCAAATGGAAGAAACACAAAAGAACTGTCAATCTCCCTCGGCCTGGGGCTCAAGATCTCACCTTGTGGAGTTGCAATGATGATGAGAACTGTGAGGAATCAGCCCAGTACTGCACAGGAGGATCTTATCAATGAACTCAAGGCAGCTGGCACCATAGTCACCAAGAAAACAATTGGTAAACACACTACGCCGTGAAGGACTGAAATCCTGCAGCGCCCGCAAGGTCCCCCTGCTCAAGAAAGCACATATACATGCCCGTCTGAAGTTTGCCAATGAACATCTGAATGATTCAGAGGAGAACTGGGTGAAAGTGTTGTGGTCAGATGAGACCAAAATGGAGCTATTTGGCATCAACTCAACCCACCGTGTTTGGAGCAGGGCGGCAGGTAGCTTAGTGGGTAAGAGCGTTGTGCCAGTAACCGAAAGGTCGCTGGTTCTAATCCCCGAGCCGACTAGGTGAAAAATCTGTCGATGTGCCCTTAAGCAAGGCACTTAACCCTAATTGCTCCTGTAAGTCGCTCTGGATAAGAGCGTCTGCTAAATGACTAAAATGTAAATGTAAATGAGGTGGAAACATTATGCTTTGGGGGTGTTTTTCTGCTAAGGTGACAGGGCAACTTCACCGCATCAAAGGGACGATGGACGGGGCCATGTACCGTCAAATCTTGGGAGAGAACCTCCTTCCCTCAGCCAGGGCATTGAAAATGGGTTGTGGATGGGTATTCCAGCATGACAATGACCCAAAACACACGGCCAAGGCAACAAATTAGTGGCTCAAGAAGAAGCACATTAAGGTCCTGGAGTGGCCTAGCCAGTCTCCAGACCTTAATTCCATAGAAAATCTGTGGAGGGAGCTGAAGGTTCGAGTTGCCAAACGTCAGCTCGAAACCTTCATGATTTGGAGAAGATCTGCAAAGAGGAGTGGGACAAAATCCCTCCTGAGATGTGTGCAAACCTGGTGGCCAACTACAAGAAACGTCTGACCTCTGTGATTGCCAACAAGGGTTTTGCCACCAAGTACTAAGTCATGTTTTGCAGAGGGGTCAAATACTTATTTCCCTCATTAAAATGCAAATCAATTTATAACATTTTTGACATGCGTTTTTCTGGATTTTTTGTTATTCTGTCTCTCACTGTTCAAATAAACCTACCATTACAATTATAGACTGATCATTTCTTTGTCAGTGGGCAAACTTACAAAATCAGCAGGGGATCAAATACTTTTTTCCCTCACTGTATTTCAGCTAACAACTTTTATGGTGATATCTACATGAAAAGATTGAATCTAATGCCCATTTTCCTCTGTTTTGGTAGGTCTATTCCTAAATTTATGAAGAGGAGTAAGGTCCCTGACTACAGGGACAAACAGGTTTTTGGTGTCCCGCCAATCATCAATGTCCAAAGGAGTGGGCAACCCCTACCCCAGAGCATCCAGCAGGCCATGCGCTACCTCCGCAGCCAATGTCTGGAAAAGGTAGTCACTCTCATCCCCTCAAAGTGATCATGTGTTCCCTCATGCTACAGTGTGTGTAAAACATTATAATTTTAGTATGTGTTCCACTCCAGATATGTTATGTTACTGTATTTCTATTGTAGTGATAGTTCATGTACTTGTGATACATTATATATTATCATGCATTGAAGTTTATGAATGATGCTAATACACCTATGACATTATCAACAGTTTTTCACTCCTATTCCTGTTAAGGTTGGCATTTTCCGTAAGTCTGGGGTGAAGTCTCGGATCCAGACTCTGCGGCAGCTGAATGAAAATTCCCCAGACCACGTGAGCTACCAGGGCCAATCAGCCTACGATGTGGCCGACCTGCTGAAACAGTACTTCAGAGACCTGCCTGAGCCTGTCCTCACCACCAAACTCACTGAAACCTTCCTGCAGATCTACCAGTGTGAGTCAGTGGCTCTAAGTGCTCCTCTCCCATCCACTCTGGGAAGCTCTGAACCCCTGTCTACTTCACATTGCCCTTCAGCATACACTTATCAGATTTAAATCATTGACTAAATAAAGCTGAGAAGTCAATCAACTAATTGAAAGGCACAGTAATGATACTGTACTCTATGATGTCCTCCAGCTAGGACTTTATAGCTAGAGTTAGGGTTTATCGAGGTTTTGCAAACATGGCATTAAGTCACTGTCTGGATTTGATGTCTGGTTATAATGTATATGGAATGTCTGCTGCTATAATTACCAGGTGCATTCAAATTCATCCGTTTTGTCATCGGTATCATGCTAAGATCTTACAACCAACATAACAATTGACGTTCAGATGTACAGTACCAGTCAAAAGTTTGGACACACCTACTCATTCAACGGTTTTTCTTTATTTTTTACTATTTTCTACATTCTAGAATAATAGTGAAGACATCAAAACTATGAAACAACACGTATGGAATCATGTAGTATCCAACAAAGTGTTAAACAAATCAAAATATATTTTAGATTTTAGATTCTTCAAAGTAGCCACCCTTTGCCTTGATGACAGCTTTGCACATTCATGGCATTCTCCCAACCAGCTTCACCTGGAATGCTTTTCCAACAGTCTTGAAGGAGTTCCCACATATGCTGAACACTTGTTGGCTGCTTTTCCTTCACTCTGCGGTCCAACTCATCCCAAACCATCTCAATTTGGTTAAGGTTGGGTGATTGTGGAAGCCAGGTCATCTGATGCAGCATTCCATCACTCTCCTTCTTGGTCAAATAGCCCTTACACAGCCTGGAGGTGTGTTGGGTCATTGTCCTGTTGAAAAACAAATGATTGTCCCACTAAGCACAAACCAGATGGGATGGTGTATCGCTGCAGAATGCTGTGGTAGCCATGCTGATTAAGTGTGCCTTGAATTTTAAATAAATCACTGACAGTGTCACCAGCAAAGCACCCCCACACCATCACACCTCCTCCTCCATGCTTCACAGTGGGAACCACGCATGCGGAGATCATCCGCAAAGACATGGCGATTGGAACCAAAAATCTCAGATTTGGACTCATCAGACCAAAGGACAGATTTCCACCGGTCTAATATCCATTGATCGTGTTTCTTGGCCCAAGCAAGTCTCTTCTTATTATTGGTGTCCTTTAGTAGTGGTTTGTTTGCAGCATTTCGACCATGAAGGCCTGATTCACGCAGTCTCCTCTGAACAGTTGATGTTGAGATGTGTCTGTTACTTAAACTCTGTGAAGCATTTATTTGGGCTGCAGTTTCTTAGGCTGGTAACTCTAATGAACTTATCCTCTGCAGCAGAGGTAACTCTGGGTCTTCCTTTCCTGTGGTGGTTCTCATGAGAGCCAGTTTCATCATAGTGCTTGATGGTTTTTGCGACTGCACTTGAAGAAACTTTGAAAGTTCTTGACATTTTCCGGATTGACTGACCTTCATGTCTTAAAGTAATGATGGACTGTCGTTTCTCTTTGCTTATTTGAGCTGTTCTTGCCATAATATGGACTTGGTATTTTACCAAATAGGGCTATCTTCTGTATACCACCCCTACCTTGTCACAACACAACTGATTGGCTCAAACGCATTAAAAAGGAAAGAAATTCCACAAATTAACTTTTACCAAGGCACACCTGTTAATTGAAATGCATTCCAGGTGACTACCTCATGAAGCTGGTTGAGAGAATGCTAAGAGTGTGCAAAGCTGTCATCAAGGCAAAGGGTGGCTACTTTGAAGAATTTGTTTAACACTTTTTTTTGGTTACTACATGATTCCATATGTGTTATTTCATAGTTTTGATGTCTTCACTATTATTCTACAATGTAGAAAATAGTAAAAATAAAGAAAAACCCTTGAATGAGTAGGTGTGTCCAAACTTTTGACTGGGACTGTATCTGTCATGTTTGTTTCCCAGGTGTCCCTAAGGACATGCGTCTTCAGGCGGCCCAGGCTGCAGTCATCCTTCTGCCTGACGAGAACCGGGAGGTACTGCAGACCTTGCTCTACTTCCTCAGTGACATCGCCTCTGCTGAGGAGAACCAGATGACAGCTGGGAACCTGGCTGTGTGCCTGGCCCCCTCCATCCTGCACCTCAACATCTCCAAGAAAGAGGGCACCTCCCCCAGGTATGTACTGGTATTCGTGTTTCTGTCTATGTGTGTATCATTACATGTTTTGGTGTGTGTGGCCTGGGACTTAGGGGCCGATTCAGACTTAGGACATTTACGCCTTTCCTACACACGCCTTTCCTATGCACTCTCAGTAGTTGGTATTCAGACTTACCTAATGCAGGCGTGTAATGCACTCTACAGGTGTGGCTACCTTGCGCACACTGAATAAATGTAATTCAACTGCTGAAAACCCTCCCACTTGCTGGCCAACAGATTTTCTCGTGGTGTTTTCATTCAATAGGGTTTTCAGTAAATTGATCTTAACCCTCCCGTTGTCCTAGGGTCAAAATGACCCGCCACTGTGTTGAACCAACTTTATTTAATTTTTATATTTTTTGGATCATTTGTGAGAAGGAGGCAGTGATACTTTCTTTAAAGTCTCACTGCCTCCTTCTCACAAATGATCCCAAAAATATAAAAATTAAATAAAGTTGGTTCAACACAGTGGCGGGTCATTTTGACCCTAGGACAACGGGAGGGTTAAGCCATCCCTTTAAATATGGTGTACCTTTAATTAGAATTCTGTCGACAGACTCACTAGAATACACAGAGAGAACGAATTCTGAATATAGGGATCAATGAAAGAAAGCCATCTAAATATATGCATATTCATCTCTGTTTCAGCACCAACTGGTAGATTTAGAAATACACTGATCTTGTACATTATTTAGGCAGATTTTTGGGTTAGTAAAGTATGTAAGTTTGGAGAGCCTTTATGGACAAAATATATAGATGAATAAAAAATACAGTGGTTTGATTCATCCTGAAAGTTGCCATATTCAAGTTAAATCCATTAAATGTCGGAAGGTGGAAAAAAGTGTACAATAGGGGTTGAACAATAGTCCTATAAATCTACCCTAATCCTCACTAATCATAGAACTGTATGACAACAGTCCAGTCATAGTGAACCATGCGCCAGGCTCCAGGTTAAAACTGCTACGTGTGGTCTGTGTTCCATAATGATTCAAATAGGCTACATGTCCCAAATTATTGCACAATGTTAGCCTAATATGATCCACTATTGCTAGCGACCCTCAGAAACAACTACACGGACGTGACAGAGGAAAGAAAGGTAAACGGAATGGAATAAATTGATGCAAAATGTTGGCTACAAATTGAAGGAAACTAACACTAAAGTGACAGTAGACAGTTATAAATGTACACTGAGTATACCAAACATTAGGAACACTTTCCTAATATTAAGTTGCACAACGCCTTATGGCCTCAGAACAACCTCAACACGTTGGGGCATGGACTCTACAAGGTGTCGAAAGCGTTCCACAGTGATACTCCCACAGTTGTGTCAAGTTGGCTGGATGCCCTTTGTGTGGTGGACCATTCTTGATACACACGGGAAACTGTTGAGCGTGAAAAACCCAGCAGCATTGCAGTACACAAACTGGTGCGACTGGCACCTACTACCATACCCTGTTCAAAGGCACTTACATTTTTTGTCTTGCCCATTCACCCTCTGAATGGCACTCATACACAATCCATGTCTCAATTGTCTCAAGGCTTACCTGTTTCCTCCCCTTTTATCTACACTGATTGAAGTGGATTTAACAAGTGACATCAATAAGGGATCATAGCTTTCCTCGCGCGTAAAGGTGGTCAGGCCAAAAAGGCAATCCCTTTGCACGGAAAAGCCGGGGGCAATTTTTAAAAACCTTTCCATAACCAGGGGTTTTTAAAAGGGGGGCCCTAAATTTGTCTCTATCTGATGCGGTGAAGACTCCAGGGGGGATACCTATGTGCCATCTGACCGCGGGGCTTTTCCAGCGGGGGGAAAAAAAACTTTGGTCCCGCCCTGCGTAACTTCCCCCAAAAAAACTCCCCCAGGTGGGTCCTTTCCTCCCCCCCCGGGCCCCCCTTTGGGGGCCCCGGGGCCAGTAGTGAGAGCATCCTGAGTGATTTTCAGAAAACCTGGGGGTTTCACCCCCCAACCCACAGCACCCAGGGGCCTGGTGGGGAGAGTCAGAGGTCCCAAAAAGGCCAGCCACCCCCCCCCATCAGGTCACCAGAAGGGCAAAAGGCCCTAAACCCTTACCTCCACCATGACTCCCATGTTTCCCCAAACCCCCAAAGGGAATCCCCCCTTTTGGGGCCCCAGCCTGTTTTTCCCCCAAAAAACCCGGGTTTACTTTTCCTGTCAGAGAAAGAAGACCAAGGGGGGTTTCCCAATACCTTCGGGAAGAAAGGAGCGATAAAGAAAAAGGAAAAGAGGGGAAGTAAAGTGGCCAAGTTGTGCCCTCTCCCGCTGCATTTCCCCTTTAAAACCCCGGCGTTTGCTTTCCATTCCAAGGGAAATTTCCCGGGTTTTTTTAAAAAAAAAACCACTACAAAAAAGAGCAGTGAAAATTCCCGCAAAAAGGGCCCCATCCTTCTGCGAAAAGGCCATACCCCCCGTAGGGGACAGGTTTGGCAAAAAACATTTGGCTCCCCCTTGGGGACTTGACTGGAAAGGGGGGGAAAGGGGGCTAAAAAATTAGTCCGAAGATTGCTTTAAAAAAAATGGACTAAGTCTGGTTCATTCCCTTTTTGGGACCACAAGCCAGCACTTTCCCCCAAGCCCCTTTATCCATCGAGACCCCTGTGCACTACTTCCACTTCTCAGGGAGTTTGCTTTGAATGGCAGATGGGGGAAAACCCCCCAACCTTCCCCCGGGGCGCAGTAATGAGTCCCGGAAATTTAACATTTTTTCCTAGAAGAAGAACCGTGTTCCCCCGTGGGGAGCACTTGACAATGTAATGGGGGAAAGTGGCGTTAAATGATTTTGGAAAAAAGGGTTTTTTGGGAGCCCCTGGATAAATTTTCCTTAAAAATTTTCCTTTGGCCCCTTAACAGAATATAACCATGGTGGGGAAAGGGTGCCGGGGAGCTCATTTGGACAAGTTTGAGGAGGAGAGGAGGACACTGACGGACCAGAAAAAACCCCCCTTCTCCCCACCTCCTTTTTGAGGACGGGTCAGTCAGTTTGGGCACGAGGGCCCGTGCCCGGACGCCCAAGGAAAACCCCCTTTGAATAGGTGGAAATTTTGAGACAAGAGAACAAAGGGAAATCAGGAGTGGGTGTTTCCCTTTAAAACCGGGGCCAACGGGGTAAACATACATTGTTATACATAAAGATTAAACCCGGTTCGGGGTTTTTCAGTATTTCCCCAAAAATGCCCAAAGCTTTTGACATTTAGAAGTATAATAAAAAGCCCAAAAATTTAATTGTTTAAAAATCCCCCTCAAAGATAAAAAAAACCAAAGGGGCCCTTTAATGGGCATCGCATAGTTTAAAAAACTTTGACCTTTATTCCCAACTTTTCCCCTCTCTTAGGAAGTACGGGGGCATTTTTCCGAACCCCCACGGGCCCGGGCCTGACTTCAGCCTCCCGGGAAAAATTAAAAACCCTTTCATTTCAGCCGCTCAGCAAAAACCCCCTGCGAAAAATTTCCCTCTTGTTCCCGGCTCATGCTAAAAGGAGAAGAAACTGAAAAAACCCCAAAAAATGGCTGGGGGCTGGGAGTGGGGGCCCCTTGGGGGAAAGGGAGATTTAAATAAAAAAAAAAGGCAGTTAAAAAAAGGGAAGTCCCTTTAACTTTTTATTTCCCCCTTTTGTATGAAATTTAATGGGGGCAGCGAGTTTTTTTTTTGTGGGTAAGGAAATTGCTTTTAAAATGCATTGTTTCATCTTTTCCAAAAGGGCAACCCTTTTGGATCTACTTTTGGCACCCCAATGTAAAAGGATTTTTTAAAAGGAAAACCTGTTTTCCCATAAAAAAAGGGTTTTAAAAAATTTTGGGTTTTTTGTACAATTTCAAAAACCTTCTCTCATTCGGGCTTTTTTTTCTCATCGGAAACTCTTGCTTCTCAGAATCATCACTTTTTCCCTCCAAAAACCATTTTTATAATTGCATTGCACGACGTTAAAGGAGGGGGCCCAGCCCAAAGGCGCAGCATGGTTTTTCCCGACATATTTTTTAATGACGATAAACACTTGACAAAACAAAAAAAGGGCAACGAAAAATTTTAAAGCTCCAACAAGGGCTCACAAAACCAACCAAAACCCACCAGTCAAAAAACCCCCAAAAAAATTTAGGAAACAGGGGCTATTTAAGTAGGATCCTAATCAGAGCCCCAACGAGTGACGGGCTGCCTCGGGATTGGGAATCCCCCACCCCCGGCCCAAAACATAAAAATTTACACATTTAAAATCCAAAACATAGAATTAATAACACAGATTCAACCTAAATCACACCCTGCCCCAACCAACCAAGTTTTTAGGTCAGAGCGTGCCCATTACCCCCCCCCCCCCCCCCCCCCCCCCCCCCCAAAGGGTTTTAACCCAGCCGCCCCAAAACCCTGTTTCCTTGGGGAGGGCCCGGGTGGGCATCCCCGGGGTGGGAGGGGGCCTTTTTTCCCTCTCGCCCCCCCCTTTGGCCCCTGGTTTTTTTTCGGGAAACCTCGGCGCGGGGTTCCCCCTTTCCCTTCCTCCCACGAGGCCCCAAACCCCGGTTGGCCCTGGTGTGGGACCCCCCCCCGCCCCTTGGAAGGGGCGGGATTTTGGGGGTTCTGGGTGGAGCCGTTTGACCGACCCTGGTTTGGGCCCCCGGGTGGGGGGGGGGAATTTGGCTTTCTGGAGTGGATCCGCTGAGGAGTAAACTGGGGCACCGGTGGAGTGGCCCTACTCGGGCTCCGGAGGGTCCGCGGGACCGGAGCGGGGAAGGGGGGCCCCCGGGGGAAAGGGGGGATTTGCCTGGCTCCGGGTGGAACCGCGGACCAGAGTTTGGAAGGCACCGGTGGAGGGGACAGCTCTGGCTCCGGGGGTTGGAACTTCGTTTTTTCGGATTTTGTTTTTGTTTTTCCGGTTTCCACTTTCAAAAAACCCTACCATTAAAATTATGATGCCCTTTTTTTTTGTGGGAAGGAAAAATTTACAAAACCCAGCAGGGGATCAAATATTTTTTCCCTAATGTATCTCCGCATCCCTAGGTTTCTCAAAAACACCCCCCCGTTTTCCCTTTTTTGGCCTGACCAGCCCCTTCTTTTCCTTTGCCCCCCCTATTTCCTTTCCCTAGGGGCCCCCTCCGGCAGCTCTCCTTTTAAGGGACCCTCCCCCTGCCCTGTTTTTCCTATCAGCCCCCTTTTAATTGTGGGGCCCTCTCTCTTAAACGTCGACCCGGGAAAGGGGGTCTTGGGGGTTAAAAAATGGGCGGCCCCTCCTCTATTTTCCCCCTTTTTAAAGGCCCCCTGCTCCCTCGTGTCCCCCCCCTTTGGGCCCCCCCCAAATTTTTTTTTTCTTTGGGTCTTCTCTGGCTTTTTTCCTTTAAGAGTTTTTTTAAAGTCGCCGTTTCCCCTTCCTGCCGGGGTTCCCCCTTTCGCCCAGGGTTTTTTTTCCCCTCTACCCCCAAATCTCCTTCCAAAGTCTTTTTTGCCCCCTGGGCACCCTGTTTGGCCCCTTGTTTGGTGGGATCTTCTGTCACGACCCGTTGAGAGCCGGGTCAGACCAAGGGCAGTGTGGTATGGTCCCTTTTTATTAAGGAGGGAAAAACACTTGACAAAACAACAAAAGCAACTTTAAACTTGAAGCTCCAAAAATGGCAAACCCCTAACAACCCAAAACCCATTCAAGACCCCACAACAAGGTAGGCAACATGGCTACCTAAGTATAATCCCCAATCAAGACAACGAGCGCCCGCTGCCTTTGGGGGGGAAATTCAAAACCCCGGCCAAAACATAAAAATAAAAATTTCTAGATCATAAACATAGAATCTAAAAACCATAGTTTCTAAAACCTGAACTCAAAACCCTGACCCAAACCCAACCAGATTTCCCTCTAGGTCAGGGCTTAAAAGCAGGGGAAACATTTTAGCGCACGCCCCGTTGTCAGCAAAAATTTACAGTTTTATCATCCAAAAAGGGTTAAAAAACCAAATTTTTGTCATTTTCTGCCATTTTGCTGTCCCCCAAATTTAGGCTTAACCCTTTTTTGGAAAAAGCTTTAATGGAATATGCACCCAGAAAAAAAGGAAAAAATTTTTTTGGTTCCGAAATAGACTGATTGGGGTTTTGGCGATGCCCCAAACATTTTTCCACCCAAAAAAAAGCCATCATGCCCAAAGGGAAAATTCAAATGTTAAATGGGGTTTCTGTTTGCGTTTTTTAAACCTTTTCCCCCCATTTTAAAACCCCCCCAAATTTAGACTATGGGTTGACACTTTCCAAATTTTTGAAAAAGATTAAAATTACATTGAGGGGTAAAAAAATTGATCCCCTGCTGTTTTTTGTACTTTTTGCCCACTGAAAAAAAATTATCAATTAAATTTTTAAGGGTATTTTTTTTTTTTAAAACCCGTGAAGACAGAAAAACAAAAAAAAAAAACCCAAAAAAAAACCCCTTGTCAAAAATGTTAAAAATTGATTGGGTTTTAAAAAATGGGGGAAAATAAGTTTTTGGCCCCCCTCTCAATCAGAAAGTTTTTCTGGCTCCCAGGTGTTTTTTAATACAGGTAACGAGCTAGTTTTAGGGGAAAACCTCTTAAAGGGGGTGTCCTAATCTCAGTTTTACCTGTTTTAAAAACCCCTGTCCACAGAAGCAAAAATCAAAATAGGCCCCAAGGACCAAAGAGCTCCCCAAAGGATTTCAGGGACAAGTTTGTAGCCCAAAAGAAAGGCGGGAAATGGGCTACAAGACCCCCCCCCCCAAGCAGTTTGGTGAAAAGGGGTGACAACATTTTAGTGCGATTTCGAAAAGGGGAAAAAAAACCCCAAAAAACCCGGGCAATTCCCTGGGCCTGGGGCTCAGATCTCACCTGTGGAGTTGCAATATAAATGGGGAACTTGAGGAATCAGCCCAGAAATTGCCGGGGAGGATTTTCAATGAACTAAAGGGCAGCGGGGGGCACCAAAAGAAACCAAAAAAAATTTGGGTAAACACACAAAACGCCGTGAAGGCCCTAAAATCCTGAAAGCCCCCCGAAAGGGCCCCCCGCCCCGGGGAACGCCCCTATAATGCCCTTCTAAGTTTCCCAAATTGAACATTTTAATGATTCGAGGAAAAATGGGGGGAAGGGGTTTGTGGTCGATGAGACCAAAATGGAGCTATTTGGCATAAAACCCCAACCCACCGGGTTTTTGGAGCGGGGGGAAAAGGGTAGCTTGGGGTAGGCTTTGGGTCCCAGTAACCAAAAGGTCGGGGGTCAAATCCCCGACCGACTGGGAAAAAAAAACTGTCGATGTCCCCTTAAGCAAGGCATTAAAACCCAAATTTGGCTCCTGAAAGTCGCTCTGGAAAAGAGCGTTGTTAAATGACTAAATGAAAATTTTTAAAAGAGGGGGAAAAACTTATGCTTTGGGGGTTTTTTTTTCCAAAGGTGAAGGGCAACTTCACCCCCAAAAGGGGACGATGGGAGGGGGCCCATGTACCGTAAAAACCTTGGGAAAACCTCCTTCCCTCGGGCCGGGGGGCATTGAAAAGGGGTTTTGTGGTTTGGGTTTTCCCAAAGCAGAAAAAGGGGACCCAAAAAAAAACCCCCGGCCCAAAGGCAAAAAATTTAGTGGTAAAGAAAAGCACATTGGGTCCTGGATTTGGTACCCAAGTTCCAGCCCTTTAAATTTTCCATAAAAAATCTGTGGAGGGAGTAAGGGTTTCTTTTTTGCCAAATTTCAGCTCGAAACCTTCATGTTTTGGGGAAAAGATCTCAAAGAGGAGTGGGAAAAAAATCCCCCCTTTAATGGTGAAAACCCCTGGTGGAACTACAGAAACGTCTGCCCTTTTGTTTCCCAAAACAAGGGTTTTGCCCCCAAAAGTACAAAGGGCATTTTTTGGGCAGAGGGGGCCCCAAAAACTTTTTTTCCCTCATTAAAAGGAAAATTTTTAAATTTATAAATTTTTGACAGGGCGTTTTTTTTTGGGTTTTTTGTTATTCTGTCTCCACGGTTAAAAAAACCCTACCATTACAATTATAGACGGGACATTTCTTTGTCAGTGGGCAAACTTCCCAAATCAGCGGGGGATCAAATACTTTTTTTCCCTCCCCTGTATTTCGCAAAACAACTTTTTTTGGTTTGAATCAAATAAAAAGTTTTGAATCAAATTTCCCCCTTTTCCCTCTTTTTTTGGTAGGTCTATTCCAAATTTATAAAGGGGGGAAGGCCCCTGACTCCCGGGGACAACAGGTTTTTTGGTTTGTCCCCCCAAATCACAAGCCCCAAAGGAGGGGGCCCCCCCTACCCGGCACCCCGGGGCCCTGCCTACCGCCGCACCCAATTTTGGGAAAAAAGGGTAGTCACCCCTTCATCCCCTTAAAAGTGTTTTCATGTTTTCCCCCCTCATCTCCGTTGTGAAAAACATTAAAATTTAGTTGTTTTCCACCCCCGAATGTTATGTTACGGTTTTTTCTTTTGTAGTGTTTAGTTCATGTATTTGTGAACTTTAATATATTATCATGCTTTTGAAGTTTATGAAGGATGCTAATACACCATGACTTTTAAAAACGTTTTCACTCCTTTTCCCTGTTAATTTTGGGCCCTTTTTCCGTAATTTCCTGGGGTGAAGCTCGGCCCCCGACTTTGGCGGCGCTGAATAAAAATTCCCCGGGACCACGTGAGCTCCCAGGGCCAATAAAATACTTTTTGGGGCCCCCGCCCTTGAAAAAACCAGTATTCAAAAACCTCCCGGGAACCCGGCCCCTCCCAAAAAAAATACTAAAAATTTCCTGAGATCTACCAGGTGACAGGGTCTAAGTGTTTCCTCCCCCCCACCCATTCGGGGAAGTTGGGAACCCCTTTTAAATTCACATTCCCCTTCCCGCATCCCTTTATAAATTTTTAAAAATCATTGACAAAAAAAGCTGGGGAATCAATAAACAAATTGAAAGGCACAGTAATGTTTATTACTCTATGATGCCCCCCAGCTGGGGATTTTAGTAGATTTTTGGGGTTTATCGAGGTTTTGAAAACATGGCTTAAAGTACTGTCGGGTTTGATGTCGGGTTAAATGATAGGGGAATGCCCCTGTGCTAAAATTTTACCGGGTTTGCATTAAAATTTTCACCCGTTTTGTAAATCGGTATCAGGGCAAGACCCTTAAAACCCCAACATAACAATTGACGTTCAGATTCGTACCTAAAATTTTGGGGCCAACCCTACTATTAAAAAGGTTTTTCTTTATTTTTTACTTTTTTACTTTCTAAAAAAATATTAAAGGGAAAATCAAAACATGAACAACACGTAGGGAAACAATGTAGTACCCAACAAATTTTAAAAACCCAAATAAAAAATACTTTTGGGTTTTTAGATTTTCAAATACCCCCCTTTTGGGCCGGATGACAGCTTTGCACATTCATGGCTTTTCCCCCAAAAACCAGTTTTCCCCGGGGAATGCTTTTAAAATTTCTTGAAGGAGTTCCCACAGAATGGGGAAAAATTTTTGGGGCTGCTTTTCCTTCACTCTGCGGAAAAACTACCCCAAAAACCATAAACCCCCAATTTTTTTAAAGGTTTGGGGTGATTGGGGAAGCCAGGTCATTGATGCAGATTCCATCACTCTCCTTTTTGGGTCAAAACCCCCCTTACAAAACCGGAGGTTTTTTGGGCATTTTTCCTTTTGGGAAACCCAAAAATGTTTGGGCCCACTAAGCACAAACCAGATGGGATGGTTTTTATCGCTCAAAATTTGCTGTGGTAGCCATGCTGTTAAGGTCCCCTTTTAATTTTAAAAAATCACTGACAGGGTCACAAAAAAGCACCCCCCCACCATCAACACCCCCTTTCCTCCATCCCTTCACAGGGGGAAACCCCATGGGGAGATCTCCGCAAAACTTGGCGTTTGGAAACCCAAAAAATCTAAAGTTTGGGAAAATAATAAACCCAAAGGACAGATTTCCCCCGGTCTAAAAATCCTTTGTTTCGTGTTTTTTTTTGGCCCCCAAGCAGTCTCTTTTTAAATTTTTTTGGTGTCCTTTAGTAGTGGTTTTTGGTTTCCCAGCTTTTTCGACCATAAAGGGCCTGATCACGCAGTCTCCTTAAAAAAGTTGATTTTGGGGGATGTGCCCTTGTTACTTAAACCTGTGAAGCATTTTTTGGGGCTGCATTTTCTTAGGGGG